AGAATTAAAAGGTCTGCTCACACCATCCTTCTTTGCCTGAACCAGGTTTGAGAGTTCCCATAAAAGGAGTCTGGAAAAGGCTGTAGCTCATAGCTAAGTGTTTATGATGGGAGGTGTAGAGGAAGCTGATACAGCTTTGCAGCCATTATTTGGGCTGTGTGAAATATCCCCAGTTTCACAGTGTGAGATACCCTTGTAAGAACTGGGAATCCTGATGACTGAGTGGAGACAGTATAACACTCCCAGGTAGTGAAAGGTAAGTGTAGGCAGACGGGAGGGAAGGAAAAAAAAACCCACTTAAGGTAAGTTTGTATACCAGCATACCAGAAAACATTAATTTTTCTTCAGAAAGAGTAAAAAATAAGAAAGAGTGTAAACATTTATTGCCAGTAATTTGAAATGATAGTATAGTATTAAAAGGACTTTAAAATTAAGTATGTTTAATAGATTCAGTCATGAGAACAGAATAATATTCATATGAAAAATAAGAATTATGAAATAAAACCAGGCGAAAGTGAAACAATAGTAGGTGGATGTGAAGAAGAAACAATATTCTGCAGATTTTAGAGATTAGATAGGATAAATCCTAGGTAGGACTCAGATAAAGAAAGGATTAAATGGTTAAGTGAAAGGTAACTAAAAGTTATAGCTAATACTTACTGATCACTTTATTCCTTGGCAGTTCTAAATATTTTACATGTACTAATTTATTTGATCCTGAAAACACCGAATTATTTTACTTTATAAATGAGGAACTTGAGGTGAGTAAATAACTTGGAAGGTTATTTAATGAGGCAGCTTTGTAACCTGGGCGTTCAGGCTCCAGCGCCCCCACCAGCACACAGGACGGCAGGGGCATTAGCCGGTCAGTCAGCACATATCAAAGAAACATATCAAAGAGTAGATGAAATAAGAAGAACAGACAAAAGCTGAAATTACTGAAATATAAAACCAAAAATAAGACGTGATTAGGAAACTGAGGGTTTATTCTACAAAAAAAACCTAACAGATAAGCCACTAAGAAGGCTGATCAAGGGGAAAAAGTAAACACAAATAAATAGTATTAAGAATTGAAAAAAGGAGATATAACTAAGGTTGCTGTTAAGTCCATCTGGTACCATCATGAAATCAGAAGAAGGTGCCCCCCCTGTGCAGATGCAGCCCTGTGAGCACCTTTGTACAGATTGAAAAATAGCATCGAGCCAGGATCCATGTCCTGGTAATGTAATGTGGCTTGGTGTTCAGTCCACTCACTGCCTTGGCTGAGTGTAGCAGACAACCTGCTCTCTGTGGACAAAATTAGAGATACCGTAGAGATTGTCCAAAAATCATGAAAATACTAAGAACAATAATAGCTGCTTGTTTATTGAAATTTTAAAAGATAAAAAATGGCAACAGATGCTATATGGCCTTCAATGATGGCAAACTTGCAAAATACCAACTGGTAGGAAAATCTGATCTAGTAGAAGAGTTTTCCTTTAGTTCCAAAATACTGGAAAAGGCTTTCAAGCAAACTATGAATTTTTAATAC